TGTACATATAGAGAAATCCTTTTTAATATTAGTAGCTGTTGACATTACAATTTATTGAGAGATTCTAATAAACTTACTTAGCTTCTATTTGGCAGCGATTAAATCAGATTTTTAGTAAAATTTTAATAAAAATGGATGAAATATATAGTTGAAAATTGTAGATTCTATGAAATATGTGATTAAAATTAATTGTTGACTTTTAGTTAAATTTTAATCAATTTTTTTAGTGGTATCAAGCATGGGCTTAGTCTTTGTTTAGTTCAAGTAAAAAAATTGATTAAAGTTTAAGTCGAACTCAACAATTAATTTTAATTATATATTTTACGGGACCCACAACTTTTTATGCATTTCATTATTTTTTATCAAAATGAATTGAAAATTGTTTTTATCTAAAACAAACGGGGGCTTAATGAAATGCAAAACAAAGATCATCATGTGCAATCATAGAAAAGCGTACGAGATGAATGTCCAATTACACTTCAATACTCATGTCGACCTTGAGTTGTTGCCTCTCGAAGAAAACTTGTTTTAACAAGATTTATGCTCCATGCACTCCAACACGGAAGACGTTAGAAGTTTCATAGCAAGATAAGACTCAACAAGTCCGTTTAACGACTATTGCTAAATGCACGTGTCATTTTATGAAGTATTTGATGCATTAAACACACTAATATCATATTAAGATATTGATAGAATTGTCGAATTGCACGATATATAATTACCAATTTGGTCTTTGTCCGAACTACATTAGGCACTGTCAGTTTAACGTTCAACATTTTGAAGTCATGCTCTAGCTTTGTAATGGTGAACCTCTCGAAGATCTATTTTAGGGATTTTTAGATGTCGCTTTGTTCGCTACGAATAACTACGATTTTCAGGAGAAGATGCAATTGACGTTTCGTCCAAGAGAGATTCCCAAAACCTCGTGAATCATGATTAAAAAAATTAAAGAGTTCATTAGTTATCAACCAAATACGATTTTCACGAATTGATCTAATCAATCCAGTACGACAATTGATTAAACACGCGATATCGATGTTTAAAATTAAAAAAAAGTACAGTGAATAGAAACAATTTGCAAAGGGGTGGCCGGTGGGGATAAAGGTTCTAAATTTCCAGCCACCTATGTATGTATGTACACATAAAATCTTGTCTTGGTCCAAATTCACGGTATACAGTTCAACGATTTGGACAACTCAATTTCCCGTACCAAATCCTTCCCCCTTTTTAGGGTGTGTTTGGTAAGGATTTTTTGGGGGGAAGAATTGATTTTGAATAGTGATATGATGGGAAATGTGTGATTGAAAAAGAAGATAAGATTATTGATGTGATGGAAAATATTATTTTATTGAAGAATGTGTGGTTGAAAATGAGAA